AGAGCATCGCTTGCCCCAGCCTAAGAGTTCCTATCTAAACCTTGTGGCTAATTGCCACTGATGGATCTCTGCTCCATATGTTTATCTAATTCCCTCTTGAAGTGAATTCCATAATCACTGTCATACTCTTTCAATCCCAGCCATTTGGGAGGAAAATATCAGGAGTGGAAAGCATGATGGAGCTTCTCGGAAGAAAGGCAAGATTTTTAAAAACAAAACATTATCGCTAATTTGTGTTGAAATATGTCTAGTAGTCACTCTCACGTAAGAACATCGGAAATGCCTTGTTGGATCAGTAGAATTCAACAGTGGCAACTGCCTTTGTAAGAACCTCAGTATTCGGCAGATGTTTCACCATAACCTTCCCAGTTGACTTCAGTTCAGTCTCCAGGTCCAATGCTCCTGTGAGTTTCCTGCTCCTGGAAAACTAGATTCCAGGAATAAGGATACTTGCCCTGCCTTCTGCTTGTTAATGCCAGTTTTCCATCTACAGGGAGAAGCATTCCATCATGCGAGCCCCTGTAAAAACTGAACAGCCTGAGCTAGGGTTGCCCGCTACAGCCTGGAAACGATTTGTGGGGCAGGGTGGGATTTGGGCAGGGAGTTCAGTGGAGATGTGATGGCACTCTAGGACTTCCGTTTCTCTTAGAATCTATGGTATACCAGAAAGTCTGCACATACCCCTCCCCCAAGCTGCCATTTTCTCCAGGGGAACTGATCTCCGTAATCTGGAGATCAGTTGTAATTCTTGGAGAACTCCAGGCCTCAACTTGAGGTTGGTAACTCTAGCCAGTTTGGTGCAGTGGTTAGGAGCGCGGACTCTAATCTGGGAGAACCAGGTTTGATTCCCCACTCCTCCACATGGAGCTGCTGGTGTGGCCTTGGGTCAGTCACAGTTCTCAGCTGTTCTGGAAAGAGTAGTTCTGGAAAGAGCTCTCTCAGCCCCACCTGAGGGTGTGTGTTGTGGGGAGGGGAAGGGAAAGGCGATTGTAAGCCTCTCTGAGACCCCTTCAGGGAGCGAAGGTCAGGATACACGTCCAATGTCTTTCCGTCTGTCCATCCCTCCTTCCCAGATGCTGGTTTACCACCTCAGAGAGAGGCAACCAACACCTGTTGGCTAACACCTGTTATCCACACTGGATGGTGACACGGCAGAGCAGTTTCCTTGGCACACAGAGCCGGTTCTCCTCCCAAGCAACCGAGGTGAGCCCCCGAGGCGCCGGCAACATGCTGGGGCTGGCAGCAGGGGAGCAGGTGATGGGGATGGGCCCGTCTCCACCTCCCGCGGCTGTCTCACTGCCAGCCGGGTGTGAGCTGAGCCACCACCCTGAGGTGCTGGCCTGGCGGCACTCCTGGGACTCGCCTTGCCAAAGACAGCTCTTGTCTGTCTCTCCCCTCCCATTTCGCCTGCTGCTCCAACCCACAACTTCACAGGTAGGACAGTGCTCCCCCCCCCCCCAGCACTTGGGCCAGAAGAGCCTCTGAATACCTTCGGGGCTGCTCAGGGAATAAGAGCCCCCTGGTGGTCCCCGGCCCAAGAGAGATCCGGCTGTCGTCAAGCAGGCCCAGGGCTTTTTCGGCCCTGGCCCCCGCCTGTCGGAAGACATCCGTGCCCTGCAGGAATGGTTACCTTTCCACAGGGCATGTAAGGCAGAGGTGTTCCGCCAGGCATTCAGTTGAGAACGGTGATGGGACAGTATAACATCTGGCACTCTCATATACTCTCCCCATCCCTCGTAAATTCAGGCTGGGGACCTGAATTTCCCCCCGCCATTTTGGACTGCGTACTGTTTTATTGACTGATCTGTTTTTGAGTAGTTTTAACGTTGGTTTAATTTGAATTATTTTGTATGCTATTCTGTTGCAAGCCGCCCTGAGCCCTACTTGTAGGGAAAGTAAAGGTTTCTCTTGCTCGAAAGCCAGTCAAACCTGACCCTAGGGGGCAGTGCTCCTTTCCGTTTCCAAGCCGAAGAGCCAGTGCTGTCCCAAAGACATTTCCAGGTCATGTGGCCGGCATGACTAGACGCCGAGGTGCACGGAACGCTGTTCCCTTCTCACCAAAGTGGTACCTACTTATCTACTTGCAGTTTCTTGCTTTCGAACTGCTAGGTTGGCAGGAGCTGGGGCCAGAGATGGGAACTCATTCCGCCATGCGGCACTCGGGTCTCGAACTGCTGAACTACAGACCTTCCGGTCTACAACTCAGCATCTTAACCTCTGAGCTACCGTGGCCCCCGTAGGGAAGGACGGCCTAGTAAACCTAAATAAATAAATGAATAGATAAATGATCCGGCAAATAAGCACTTAGAGGCTCGGGAACTGCATGTGGTTCTTTGGCATTGTCCCGTGTGAGTCTCCTCAGCATCACTCCCGAAGCGGCACCCGCCCCCCCTGTTTGAAGGGAGTGGACAAAGCCATTAGGCAATGTGAGGCCTGTAGATTGTCAGATGGTTCCCACCTTGAAACAGCAGCTGCAGGAAGATGGATGACCTGCGGTGAAGGGCCTGGCAAATCATGTGCATGCAGCCCAGGGTGTAGTTAGAGACCTAAAAGTTGGCTCTTGTTTTGTTGCGTGTGTGTGTTTGGGTGGGTGGTGCACGGGGCACATCGTAGTCATGTGGCTCTTTTGGTTTATGTTAATTGCAGGTGGGACTCTCTGCAAGGCCCAGTCCTGTGTTCTGTGCAGGAAGTCCAGCAGGCACTTTGGAATTCAGCCATATTCCACCAGTGGACCACGGTCCGCCTTTTGTCTCCCTCCCCCATTTTTTAGGGATACCCAGTTACTCTTTAGCAGCTGACTCAACGGTGTCCATACCTTTCTGTCCCAAACCAAATGGCAGAAGGCTGATTGACAGCAGTAGCAGTGAATTGGGATACTGGTCCAAGATGGCCAATCAGCACTCTGCCGTCCTAGCGACCTGTGAAAGTTCCCGAATATGGGAAGCTTCTTTAAGGGAGCGCCAAGCAATAAATTGCAAGTAGATAAATAGGTACTGCTTTGGTGGGAAGGTAACAGCGTTCCATGCGCCTCGGCCTTTAGTCATGTGACTGGCTAAACACAGGATGTGAGGGTGGTGGATGTGGTCTAACCAAGAGACCAGGCCTGACAGATCTTTTAGGGTAGCTGATCAGCACTCCTGTATATGCTTACTTGGGAGTAAGTACTTGACGACAGAGAAGTCTTCGGACAGCGCTGGCCCTTCGGCTTGGAAACGGAGATGAGCACCGCCCCCTAGAGTCAGATTCAACTAGCTCTCAAGCAAGGGAACCTTTACCTATATATGGCGCTGCAAATGCGTTTGCTGGGTGTGTTTTCCTGCAGGGAATGTGTAACCTATGAGTGGTCGGCACACTTTTTTAGGCTTTCACAGTGGGCAAACTGGGTCCGTTGCTGCCCATCTCCTTTCTTGGGTCTCCTCCAGAAGCCGCTCAGGAGCCCCAGCCTTCCCTGGGTTTTGACAGCTGCTCAGTGAGATGCAGGTGGTTGGGGTGTGCTCAGGTGAGGAGCGGCAGGTTGCTTGGAGTCTTGTTCAGGCTTGCCCGTGTACTGTTGTGTATGCAGAAGCTCAGCTGTGTAGCGAGGTGTTTTCTTTGAGGGCGGAGAGGTTCTAATGAAGCTGCCTTGTGCGAAAAACCAGAGCATTGGTTCCTCTGGGCTGCTCCTGCGGAGGAAGGATCCTCCCATCACCTGTTGCTGGGGAGCCTTTTGCTTGAACCCAGGAGGACCGTCTGCATGCCGTGCATGTGCCCTGTCTCTTAGCCACATCCCTGCTCCCCAGTTCGAGGCCGGCTATCGCACGGTTTGTTGCTTTGTGCAGGGAGATGCATTTAACCCTCCCGTGAGGTCTCACCCCATTGCTGTTCGATCACCCCAATTGGAGGTGGGGAAGTGCATGATTGTTCTGTGGGAACAACATTTTACTTTTGCTCTGTATGAATTAGTAGGTGCCAGTTCCCACTGTAGTCAAAAGAAGTGCATTTGGGCTTCATTGAGTTAGGATTTATTTTATTTTTTAAAATCTTTTCTTCATTTACACCCCACTTTTTCTCCACCGTGGGGCCTCAAAGCTGCTTATGATGTTCTTCTCTCCTCCCTTTTCTCCTCACAACACCCCTGTGAGGTAGGCAGGGTGAGAATGTGTGTGACGGATCCAAAGTCACCCAGCTTGCTTCCATGGCAGTGTAGGAATTCAAGCCGGGGCCTCCCATATCCTACTTTGACACTTGAAACTCTGGACCACTCGTGTCCTCAAAGAACCTTCCCCAGCAGTCTTGCCTCCCTTTAATCCCATAGAAATTAATGGGTCCCATTGCCCAGACAGCCGGTGTGGTGGGGTGGTGAAGGGTGCCAAACTAGTATCTGGGAGACTCAGGTTCAAATCCCCCACTTGTGCCATGGAAGCCCGCTGGGTGACCTTGGGCCAGTCACACGCTCTCAGCCTAAACCTACCTCACAGGGTTGTTGTGAGGATAGAATGAAGCAGGAGAGAACAATGTAAGCTGCTTTCTCCACTGGAGAGAAAGGTTGAGGTCCAGATGAATTAAATAAATATAATCTCTCTATGCCCTGTGGTCGGTCTTTCTGTCTGTCTGTCTCTGTCATTTGCTGGATAAGTGCCTTGTTAAAAGAGTTCAGTGACCAAGCAAGTATGACAGCCAAGCAGATGGCAGACTTTTTCAACTTGCTCACTTTCTTTGTGGCGAGCAAGATAAAAGATGATCTTCCCTGTTTTGTCTTTTAAAAGATTGCAGTGTACCAAATACCAGTAACAATCAATGGGAAAATTCCTTCTCATAGCCCCCACTTGTGGCCAGATACTGACTGGTTCCAAGGAACCAGGGCAATTTCTGGTCTGTGCGGTGCAGTGGCCCAGGTTGAGACATGTCGATAGAGGTGGCAAGGGGAGTGGTGGTTTATTACCAGCCTGGTTTGCCCCCTGTGCACTGTGCCTATGGTGAGAGAATTTTTTTTGCTCAAGTTCCTTTCCTTCCCCTTGCAGCAGAGTGGCCAAAGACCATGACAGGCCTTCCGAGTACATCCGGGACGACCGCCAGCGTGGTGATAATCCGGGGCTCGAAGATGTACGTGGCTCACGTGGGCGACTCGGGAGTGGTGCTTGGAGTCCAAGACGACCCCAAAGATGACTTCATCCGGGCCGTAGAGGTGACGCAAGATCACAAACCTGAGCTCCCGAAGGAGAGGCAGCGAATTGAAGGACTCGGGGGCAGGTGATTGTCTTGCTGTCTTTCTCGTGGGGGCGTCTGCTTTTGCACACCAGATGGGGCCTGTCCGAGCTGTGTTCAATTTCCGTTTTTAAGCCACCGCTAACGGAAACTGAAAATCCGGGATGTGGCACCCAAGAACACATCCTGAGATTACTGAGTAAACGTCTGCGCCCTATCCCCGTGTTCTGTTTGGATCCAGGTAGTGTTCTTATAACCATGTCAGGTCATAAGACATGCTCTGCTGGGTCAGACCAAAAGTTTACCTAGCCCGGCATTTGATGGCCTGGTTGTGATCTCGCGCCTGCCACACCTCTCTCAGCCACACCTTCCTCACAGGGTAGTTGTGAGGACAGAATGGGCAAAGCAGGCTCCCCTGAACTCCTAGGAGAGAAGGCAGGATACAAATAGATAGGGTTAGATAAACAGAGATAGATGCCGAGGTGCACGGAACGTTGTTACCTTCCCACCGAAGCGGTATCAATGTATCTACTTGCAATTTCTTGCTTTCGAACTGCTAGGCTGGCAGGAGCTGGGGCCAGAGACGGGAGCTCACTCCGTCTAGATTAATTTTTGTACCAGCGGCCTGCGCAGAAACATATAGCTGGAAGGGATCCCCAAGGGTCATCTACTCCAACCCCCGTGCAGTGCAGGACATTTGCAGCTCCTCCCCTTCCCCAGTGCCCCCTGCTCTGTGCCCAGTGGAAGGCAGAAACCTCCAGGATCCCTGGGCCAACCTGGCCTGGAGGAAAATTCTGTCCTGAACCCAAAGTGACAATTGGCATTATCCTGGGCATATGGGGGGAGGGGACAAGAGCCAAGCACTACTAGCTCATCCCTCCTTGCCCTCTCTCTGCCTAAATTCATGGTGAGTCAGTGAATCAGCATTGCTGTCAGGTGGCCATCTAGCCTCTGCTTAAAAACCGCCAAAGAAGGAGAGCCCATCCCCTGAGGAAGCCTGTGTCCACCGAGGAACTGCTCCGTCAGGAAGTTTTTCTTGTTTCAGTTCCTTTTTATCTTCCCTGTCAAGTTTCTAGTCCTTGTGACGGCGGAGATAAGGTTAGAAAGGCAGGAAGCGAGTGATCAAATCTAGCATGTCAGGCTGGTCCTGAAAAAAGAATCAATGGGTGTTGGGGGCTGGCTCAGTGATGTACAAAGGAGCCAAAGTCTGCATTGCAGGCCAGAGCCAGGGTGCATACAGCACTTAAAAAACATTTTGGTTTTCTTTTCCAACCAGACAGGGTCTCCAAAGTGACAAACATCAAACCATTAAAACAGTATAACAGTAAAAACACAAGTATATAGAAAGTTTTAAAAACAATTAAAACATAAAAACATGAACAGGGAGGAAGGCTAGTAAGAGTTAGTGAGGGAGCACCAATGCAAACAAAAAAAGAATCTTCACCTGTTTGCGGCAGGCAGTGATGGAGACAGATGAATAAAAGATTGAATGCTTGAGGAGGGGGTATCTGTAATTTTGGCGGTTAAGTCTGGTCTCTGGATAAACAAGGAAACACAGGAGTTTGTGTGTGTGGAGAATATGGCAGTTTATGGTCCTTACAGATAGGATGCAGTCAGACGGCGTGCTGGGAGCGGTTTAAATTGCTCCGGTGTTTTTTTTAACCTGGAGAATCGCGATCACACTCACCTCCTTGTTCCGGATCGCTGCGCAGCCCCATCGCTCCCCGTCCACATGTGGGAGCGTTTTTTCCCCCCTCTCAGTTTGGGCATGCGCACAGGCGGCCATCTGTAGAATTAAAATTTTCGTGCGTGCGCCGGACAGAGATTTCCACTTCAACCCAACTGCTGTAACACTTCCCTTTAAACTTTAAAGGAACACTTCCCTTTAAACTTTTACACCGAAACTGGCCTCCGTGAGATCCCGAACTTGTCTAACCAACAAAACTAGGCACCGTTTAAACATTGTTTTTAATAACGCGGGAGCGGAGCTCTGCCTGTGCGCATACCGCCGATGCTAAAATAAAATGGTGGGTGAAGAGCGGAAGCCTCGGGCTTCTGAGTGGAAGTGGCTCGACACTGCAGGAGCGATCAGACGTCAGAAAAGTGCGTCTAGAACCGGAGAATCAGGAAAACACCACTTGGGGACCTGGTAACAAAACACTCCGTTTTAAAGGGGGTTTGAGCCGGAAAGCGATGGCTGGGGACGGTGCGCAGATGGTGGGTGTGTGAACGTGGATATAAAATCCGTTACTGAAGCGTGCCGAAAGTGGACTAAACGGCCCATCTGAATGCACCCTCATAGCGATAAAATTGAAAAACAGTAGCCACATGAAATTCCACAAGGCAAAAGTGGCAATGACTGATATTAAGTGATACTTCCGGGCTGACCCTGCTCGAGATTCATTTCTTTAACCCCGTGGCCCAAAACTGGCCATTCACTTGCTTCTAGTGTTCACTAAACCGTGAGATTCAGGTGTGGTGTTGTTTTTTCTTCTGGACATCTGGAAGTGTGCCCTGCAGAACTGAGACATAGGCAAATGTTCTTCCTTTGCCGTCACGGTTATGAAAATCATTTAGCATTTACCACGAGTGTGAATGATTAGTCCAGTCAGCCTTGCAGAACCAGCCTGGCAAGTGAGGTCAGTGTGATGACCACCATATCACATGCTGCTTAGTGTGACATCTGAGGCTGCATAGTGAATCCGTGGCAGAGGTAACATTTGAACCCGGGACTTCTCATAGGGCATTCTCCTAACCCAAGGCAGGGTGGAGTCCCTGGTCTGCAGACCTTAGTGCAGACAGAGATGTAAAATTTCCATTCTCGGGTGCCTCCGTGATCTTCTCCCCAGTGGTGCATGGGAAGGGACAATATAAAGAGCAGGCGAGCTGCCCCACTGTTGCAGCAAAACACGGTCCTTGGGAGCTGGCATCGCCTTGCAGAAACCCCATCCTCTTTGGTTCTTCAACTCCATACTGGCCCGGCAGGCTCACTTCTCTCACTTTTCAGGTATTTGGGAAGCCACAGCGCCCAAGGTTTTCTTGCCAGCATTCCCCTCACCAAAATCCTGCCGCCTTCTTAATCTCCAGAGAGCAGAGCGCGTGGCAGGTGGAGGCACTGCCGTCTGCTCCATCAGGGCTGGCCGAGCTCAGCCAATGGCTTTCCTCTTCAACGGGCTTCTGCCTTCGGATATTTGTTTATCTTGGCTGGCTGTGGAACACCAAATTGTGTTTTTAATTTGACTTTGAACCCAGGGCTTTAACCAATACAAAACCTTTGTACTGCTGCTGACCAGCCCCGCCCCCAGTAATTTATTCATAAATTTACACGGGGGGGGGGGGGGGAACAGTGTTTAGCATTTTGCATGGTGGCCTAGTGCAGGGTGTGTTACTTGACAATAGATGATACTCATGCTGTTGTAGATTTCATAAAAGAGGGAGTCTGATGGCTCCTTAAAAGGGTGTGTCTGTGTGTATTGTGGCATTAGTTTGGTGAGTTAAAGCCTTAAGAACACAAGAGAAGCCAATGTTGGATCAGGCCAATGGCCCATCTAGTCCAACACTCTGTGTCACACAGTGGCCAGAAATACCAGGTGCCATCAGGAGGTCCACCAGTGGGGCCAGGACACAGAGCAACACTGGCCCTTCTTCCTTGGATGGCATGTAGTCTGACCTCAGTTGGCACTTCATGTGTCTTGCGAAGCGGACTCCAGTTCACAAAAGTCGGCTACAGTAAAATCCGGTGGTCTTCAGGGTGCAGCAAAGACTTCATTCCACACCTGTGGAATTGGCACCCAAGATGAGAGAGCCCTGCAAGCTCAGATCAGTGGTCCGTCTACCCCCTCATCCTCTTTTCCCACAGTGGCTGGCAAGATGCTTCTTGAACACATGCAAGCAGGTCACAGAGGAGGCCAAAGCACACCTCCTCCTCCTCCTCTTCCTCCTCCTCCTCACATTATTGACCTTCACCAGCTGCTTTTTACCCTGACCTGGACTAGCCTGATCTCAGAAATTAAGCAGGGCTGGCCCTGATTGGTCCTTGACTGGGAGATCACCAGTGTTGTGGCACAGAGGCAGGCAATGGCAAACCACCTCTGTAGGTCTTTTGCTCTGATGTGGGTGGCCCAGGTTAGCCCAATCTGGTCAGACCACAGAAGCGAAGCAGGGTCAGCCCCTGGGTAGTACTTGGATGGGAGACCACCGAGGAAGTCCAGGGTGGCTATGCAAAGGCAGGCGATGGCAAACCACCTCTTTTTCTCTCTGGCCTCGAAACACTTATGAGGTTTCTATAAATCAACTATGATCGGATGGCACTCCCCATCGACATCAAAGCTGCTTTTCAAAGATACACTGCCTCTGAACATGGAGGTTCCATTGAGCAACCGTGGCGGATTTCAGTTTATCTCAGTAGGGTTTTATTTCTGTTCCGTTCACCATGCAGCTCCTGCTTTCCCCCCCTGAAACATTAGTAAGTAGATGGCACTGTGTGTCCCCCCCCCCACACACACATTTTTGGCTCTCAGTCTTGTCCTGCTGTTCAGCATCTGAGAGCAGGTGTTAAAAATGCTTGAAGGCGCAGCTCTTTTTCGTCTGGATCGACCCCTCCCCTTTGCCTCCGGGCAGATGAGGACTCTCCTGTTGTCTCTTTCCTCTCTTTCTGTTTAAAATTCTGTCTCCTGCTGTTGCTGGCAGAAGTCCCAGGAGAGCCCTGGCTGCTTTGAATCTTTCAATTAAAAAAAAAGGCACCTTGGAGCCAGGCCTGACTTCTGGCGGAGGCCAGAGATGATCTTTTGAGTGCCGCTCTGCCCCCGAGTGCGATTTGGCCTCGGTGTTGTGGTGGCTGATGTCTCACAGAAGTCCTTCAGTTTGTTGTTGCCTTTTTGGGGTCAGTTTTCACAAAGTTGGGAAGGAAATCTACCTGAAATAGAACATGATGCAGTCACCAGGCTGGCTGCGAAGCTGGCTTGTTGTGAGGCCTGACTCATGTCAAAGGGGGGGTGGGGATGGGCAGGGAAGGTCAGTGCGAGGTGGGAGGGGGAGGCAACAGAGTGGCAAAGAGAGTTTTCTCGGAAGCAGCAATGGTATCAGTCCTGGTTTTGCTCAGACTCCAGGTACCAGTCCTGACCTGGAAGCCAGTTCGGTGTAGTGGTTAAGAGTAGCGGACTCTAATCTGGGAGAACCGGGTTTGATTCCCCACTCCTCCACTTGCAGCTGCTGGATGACCTTGGGTCAGTCACAAGTTCTCTCAGAGCTGTTCTCTCAAGGGCAGTCCTCGAAAGAGCTCTCTCATCCCCGCCTACCTCACTGGGTGTCTGTTGTGGGGAGGGGAAGGGAAAGGAGATTGTAAGACGCTCTGAGACGCCGAGTGAAGGGCGGGGTATAAAGCCAATCTCTTCTCTTCTGTTATTATGATTTAAAATATTTTTATGCTGCCTTTCCACCCGATCAGGGCCCACAAGGCAGGGAACATTAAAAAAAATTAAAATATTTGAGCAATTAAAAATACAATTAGAATAGTAAAATAATTCAATTAGAACACACAAACTAGAAGGAGGGGGCCAGTAACCGTTAACGGGGGTATGCCAGACGAAATAAAGAAGTCTTCACTTGCTGGTGGAAGACAGAGGGAGACAGACGGATCTCCCTGGGGACGGAGTTCCAAAGTTCTGGGGCCACGACTGAGAAGGACCTCCCTTGGGTTGTCACCTGTCTCGCCTCAAATGGCTGGGGGTAACCAAAGCAAGGCCTCTGAAGATGGCCGGCGTGGACAGACAGGTTCATACGGGAGGAGCACGTAGTGGGTTTGTTTGACCCGATTGCCTGCTGTAGCCAATGCTCCCTCTAGGCTGTGGAGTCTTGTGAGCAAAAATTCGGCTTTGTGAGCTACCGGCTTTAAAGTTGTGAGCGAGCGATTTGGCTGCTGCATCAATTAGTTTCCTCTGGAGCCCTCCTTCCTGAGCTCAGACAAAAATATGTGAGCCGGAGTCTAAGCAACTGTGAGCTAGCTCACACTAACTCAGCTTAGAGGGATCCCTGGCTGTAACTTCGTGGCTTTCTTGCTGGACTTTGTGGTCCACATAGAATCACCCATGTTGTCTCTCGGGTTCCCTGCCAGATTGTGTCCTGATTCTTGGGGGGGGGGGGGATTTAACTGTTGTGAAGACCCAGTGCTAGGAAAAAGCGATTGCTGGTCAGAGCTGATAGTACTGTGCTAGGTGAACTAACGGTGTAAGGCAGCTTCCTTTTTCAGGAGGTCTCGTATAGCTGAGTGGTAGAGCACACCTGCCTTGCAAGTGGAGGGTCCTTGGTTCAGTCCCAGGCATCTCCAGTTAAAAGGATCTCAGGTAGCCAGAGTTTGGAAAGACCTCTCTCTGCCTGAGATTTTGGACAACGACTGCCATTCAGGGTACTGGGCTACATGGCTCTCAGAGGTCGCATGAAGGTCCCTTGGACTCGGGGCTTTTTTAAAAAAAGAAAAGAAAAAGAGGTGTCGGAACTCTCAAGAGGGAAATGAAGCTTTCAGTCTGTACACTGAGAACTCATGACCTTTTAAACTTTTTAAAAAGAATTTTGTCAAAGAGGTTCCGGAACTCCTGTCCGGCACGTTCCCCCAGAAAAACAGCCCTGCTTATACTGAACCAGACCCCCTTGGTCCATCAGCGTCAGTCCTGTCTACTCAGACCTGCAGTGGCTCTCCAGGGTCTCCGGCTGAGGTCTTTCACACCACCTTCTACCTGATTCTTTAGAGATGCCGGCGATCGAACCTGAGATCATCTGCATAGCAATCAGGTGTTTTGCCACTGAGCCACAGCCTCTCCCCCGTGTCTAATACAGCATCATGTTCTTGGGGATGTACAGGCAGCACTGTGCACAGAAATGTGGTGGACTTAGCTAGGTTTAGGATGGATTGTGAGGGCATGCTTTGTGCTAAATCTGTTTCGAATTCTGGTCCAAGGTGACTTGGGTTTTTCACCAAGAGCTTGCATATGGGATGAAGCCAGCTGTGTATTTTTTTTTACTGGTTATACTAGTTTTACTAGTTATGAGACTCCAGAGCATACCCTGAAACTGCCGTTCGTCTCTAAGGTGCTACTGGACTTGAATCTTACTGTAGACCAACACGGCTACCCTATGAAATTATTTTTTTACTCAGGTGGGCAACAATGTTGGTCTGAAGCAGTAGAACAAAGTTAGAGTCCGGTGGGGCACCTTTAAGACCAACAAAGTTTTATTCAAGGTGTGAGCTATCGTGTGCACACTCACTATTTGTGACAACAGGATCTCAGTTTAATTACTCTTAGCATTCCACAATTAAGAAGGATGCATTTCCACATTACTCCTCTATTTTGACATATTTATTTGCTTCACTGTGTCCGTCCCCCCTCCCCGTAATCCAAACGAATGGTGACCATATAAACTTAGCTTGTTATTCCTGTTTGGTCTTTGCATTTGTTAAAACATCATAATTATGTTGTATGCTAATTTGCTGTTCACCTTCTGCCTAGATGTATGGACTGTTAACTTCCATTTCAGTGTATCTGAGGAAGTGTACTCGCACTCGAAGCTTATACCCAGAATTAAACTTTGTTGCTCTTAAAGGTGCCACTGGACTAGGGCTGCCATTCCCTAGGGCTGGATGGGGAATCTCCCAGTTTTGAGGGCTTCTGCCTACCACTGGCCTGCTGGGCGACATCCCTGATGTGATGATGTCATCGCCGACATGTTGATGAGACCTGGCAACCAATGCTCCCTCTAAGCTGTGGAGTCTTGTGAGCAAAAATTCTCCTTTGTGAGCTGCTGGCATTCAAGTTGTGAGCGAGTGATTTGTCTGCTGCAGAAATTAGTTTGCTTTGGAGCCATCCTTCCTGAGCCAAGACAAAAATGTGTGAGCTGGAGGCAGACTTGGCCACTGCAGACTTGGCCAACCTGAAAAATCAGCAGTGGCTGAACATAGCCTAACTCAAACAGGACACAGTATTTTGTTCCAAGACACTGAAAGGTTGGACAACACTTTCAATTACCATGTCAGATTACACAGGGAAACCATTGAAATTCACAAACATAAACATAATTTCAACAGGAAAGAAGAGAGTTTAAAAATAAATAGGACATGGCTTCCTGTCCTGAAAAACACAAAAGGCTTTACATCAGACAATAGCACTACAGATAAGATTAGAATTTCAACAATCTCCTCAGGAAGCAGGAAACCTCAGGAAACAAAAGAACCTCCTCAGGAAAGCTCCTCCATTAGCATGTCCATAGCCTGGGGAACTCCTACAGGGCAATGACTCAGCCCTACCCCACCTTCTGGAGTAGATATAAATTTACGGCCTACCGTTTTCTTCTCACCTTGACCCAGAGAGTATTCCAACTTTCTGTGTTTATACCTCTGAGGATGCCAGTCACAGTTACTAGAAGAAGAAGAAGAGGAAGAGATTGGATTTATACCCCATGGCCCTTCACTACCCAAAGGTGTCTCAGAGCGGCTTACAAACTCCTTTCCCTTCCACTCCCCACAACAGACACCCTGTGAGGTGAGTGGGGCTGAGAGAGCTCTGGCGGAAACTGCTCTTTTTCAAGGACAGCTGTGCCAAAGCTTGTGACTGACCCAAGGTCACATCAGCAGGTGCAAGTGGAGGAGTGGGGAATCAAACCCGGTTCTCCCAGATTAGACTCCGCACACGTCAGGTTCTACAATGCCAAGACTATGGCCACACATCCCAGAAAATCTACAGCAACTAATAAAAATAAATCAACTTTCACCACATAACACTGAGTTTTGTCAATATATAGTTGTGGCGTCCTCGCTTATTGGGGACACTGTTTCTCCTTTAAAACTCACTGTGTGTACATGAACTTAGTAGGTTTATGCTGCCACTAGGAATTAAAAATTCCAGTTCTCTCTGTTTTAGTAGAATGACCCAGTGTCTGGGTGCTTCAGAGGATTGTGTGGCCCTGTAGAAGGACTGTTCTGATTGCTGGGATAAGTTTAAACAAATAATGATTTATTTATTAAAGAACAAAATAGGTTTCTGGGTAATTGTGGACTGTTGTTGAAGAAAGAAAATATAACTGACAATGCTTGGCGTCAACACATAGTCTCTCAAACATCAAAACTCAACTCTGACAGGCTTATATCTCATATATAGCCACACAGGCCTCTTGCTCATATAGAACCACACAGGCTGAACTCTCTTGCTCATATAGCCACACAGGCTAAATTAAACTCCAACTGCTTCCTTTGTCATACAGACACTCTCAAAAACTCCACACTCGCCACACACACCAAAAATGGGACCATTACAACAGTTCTCTGTAACATCTCTTTTATTACAACGGGGCTATAAATTTACTATTCCTGTTATTTTCAAAAGAATTAGGGTTTTCTTGATCAAAACAACATTTTTCCAAAAAAGGGTACCATTTCTGTATTAGTTGTGGCATTCATGCAGATCTCGGAAGTGGGCCACAGCTGTTTAGACTCTGAGGCCCCGCCTCCTGTTCCCAAAGTGCTGGAAATTTTGCTTGGCACCCAATAGCTTCTGTGCTTCAGGATCTCATGAAGTATTTATTTATGTATTGACATCATTTATACCCTGCCTTTTCCCCCAGTGGGGGCCCAAAGCAGCTTACAGTGTTTTCCTGTCCTCCGTTTTAGCCTTGCAACAGCCCTGTGAGGTAGGTTGGGCTGAGGGTGTGTGACTGGTCACCCAGCAAACTCCCATGGTTAAGTGTGGATTTGAAGGCGTGTCTCCCAGATTCTAGTCTGACACCCTGACTAGTACGCCATGTTTGCTCTCCAGAACCACCCACACACTTTTCAGCTTGCCCTCATGAAGTCTAGAAGTCGTTTTTTGTTTTGGGAAACACCCAGGATTGTGAAGTTGTGCAGCTTTCAACTGACTCGTTTTGCTTTCTCTACCTTTTCCCTATTCCTTTGATTTCCCCCCCCCCCCCTTTAGTGTGATCAACAAATCTGGTGTGAACCGGGTCGTGTGGAAGAGGCCCCGTCTAACCCACAACGGTCCTGTGCGGCGGAGCACCGTCATTGATCAGATCCCGTTCCTGGCAGTGGCTCGTGCCCTGGGTAAGCAGTGACTGGCCAAACACAGGATGCGAGGGCGGTGGAGGTGGTCTAACCAAGAGACCAGGCTGGACAGATCTTTTAGGGTAGCCGATCAGCACTCCTGTGTATGCTTACTTGGGAGTAAGTACTTGACGTCCCCCTCCCCCCACAGGAGTGAGTGGAAATGATGGGAGAAAAGGATGGGGTGCACCAAGGGCGTGAGGGGGGAAATGCTTCCTTCCCCTTTGGGACCCCAGCAATTGAAGGCAGACCCTTGGTGGTGGTGCTGTGCCGCTTAATCTGCATAACCTCATCACGGCTTCTGTCTTTTTCCCATTCTCAAGCAGTGATACTCACTCTGTGGCTTGTGGAGAGCAACTGCTATCTACCAAAAAAGCCACATTTACTTGCATTCCTGGCGTGAGGACTGTGCCTCAGGGAGCACACTGCCAGTCACGAGCCCCACTGGGCAAGGGCCTTGCCCACTTTCTTGAAAGATGGGGCAAGGGCTACAGTGAGGAATGGTCCTCAGAAGAGTCACAGGTGGCTCCTGAGCAATGCTCCCTCTAAGCTGTGGAGTCTTGTGAACAGAAATTCTACTCTGAGCTCCTGGCATGAAAGTTGTGAGCGAGTGATTTGGCTGCTGCATAAGTCAGTTTGCTCTGGAGCCATCCTTCCTGAGCTAAGACAAAAAAAAATTGTGAGCCGGAGGCGAAAAAATTGTGAGCTAGCTCACACTAACTCAGCTTAGAGGGAACACTGCTCCTGAGTCACTGATGGGTATCCCAGTTCAAAAGTGGGACGGAATGGCCAGAACCGTTTTTTATTTCTATAATTAAATGCATGTGTGCATATCCTACTGCAGCACTATACCTGTCATAACTAAGGTTGGCACATGTGTCGAGGAAGGTTCTGTAAATTCTAAGTGCCCTTGGAGGAGAGACAGGGGCACATTGCTCGCCCTTTGTGGCGCTCCCACAGTTGAGGAATGGGTGGTTTTATTGTCATCACTGCAGTCTCAGAAAAGCTTTTCTGTCCACTCTAAACATGAATACTAGCCATTCACGTATCTGGGGAGAAAGCGAAGGGGTACAATGAAGATGCATCATGTCACATGTTAGTTTGCTGTTCAGCGTATATCTATAAATTTGAAATCTAGCTTCTTTTCTAATGTATTTGACAAAGTGTGCATGCACACGAAAGCTCACACCTTGAACAAACCTTTGTTGGTCTTAAAGGTGCCCTAGTGGACTCTGAGTTTGTTCTCCTGCTTCAGACCCAACACGGCTGACCACCTGAAATATTTGGTGTGAATGTTTCAGTTCAGGTTAAAACAAATGCTGCCAGCTGCAGTTTGTTTGGATTAGATGTGATTAGGATTGGGCATTGTACCCTTTGGAGCAATAATGTTCTTTGGTTCCCTTACACTTCGTGGTTCTTTTATAAAATGGAATACAGTACAGGCGGATGTATCTGTAGCCTCCATATTGGAAGTCTGCGGTGAGAACAAAATTGCCTTCTGTTTAAATTTCTTTTAAATTTCTTTTTATCTGGAATCAATACTTCATTATTTCTGGAGATGTGGCTGAATGGGTTTCACATGGTATAATTAGATTTAATGATGTCATTAAGCTGAACTCTTGCTTGATTGAACAGGTAATTGGATGCATGATAGATGGGGCCAGTCTATCGTTGCGTTATTTGCAGTTGAACATTCATGTTGACGTATAAACAGAGGTGGTGTTGATTTGAACGAGGTAAAGTCTGAAGCCCTGATATAGATCGTTGATCCATTGGAAAGGAATATTATCAAAATTTCTGTTTTAACTTCGTTTTTTTAGGGAAAGCATTTTAGGGGTCTTGTGATATATTGTTGATCTACTGCATTCTGACCGGGAGACTGTATTTATACCAAGCTCTGCAGTATCTCCATTGTTAACTTGCACTTTTAGAAATAATTGTATGAGTGCTTCTTGACCCCTCAGTGATTAAATAAATTGAGGGTTAGTGTTGACAAAGCTCTCAGTCAAGATCAGATCTGATTTCTGTCTCTTGAGAATGTCCAGTTATTCAGCAATTTCGAAGTGGGTTTGTGTATACTGTTGATAGAATACTTTGTTTTGAGATCCCATCAGAGCTATTCAGTATTTTGCTTGGCCCTCAGTTCAGACTGGTGGAGAAGCAACATTATGAGCTGGTTTGGAATTTATTGAATGCAGTTAAAGCTTTAGTAGCAAGATGTTGGTACAGTGTAAAACCTTCTTTGTTGCATTAAATTCTGGGACGTTCTGCCGATGCCAAAAGTTACAGCCATCCTCCACAGGAGAAAAACAGCAAAGGAATGTATCATTCTATATAGCAGCATTTTGTTGGATTCATGACTCATCATTATAACGTGGATTTTTAAAAAGTGTTTTTGCTTTGGTGTAATTTGAATCCTAGCTACTAGCTGTGGTGGGCTATTCCTTTATCAGCAATAAGCTCCTTCGGCTGGAGGTCTTGAGCCATACAATAAAATCACAGTTCAGATATCAATAGCAGTTACAGAATAATTGATAAAGTAAAATTATGTCACTAGTAAAATCACAAGATTGTCATGTTAACATGTAGCAGGGGAGTGTCTCAAAAGGTATTATAATAGCCTTACCTGGATATCCCAGGAAAGCCCAATTGTGTCAGATCTCGGAAGCTAAGCAGGGTTGACTCTGGCAAGTAAGTGTATGGGAGACCTTGGAATACCAGCAGTCGGGAGGCGGGGGCAGGCTTTACTCAGCCACCTCTCTGAATATCCTCCAGGCCCCCAGTAGGGGCCAGTCACCAGAGGTCACCATGACTTTCAGGTACACACACACTCAAATGCACACACACATGCACATAAAAACAAAAAAATCTGCTATATTTTTATCCCTTGACGTTGAAAAGGCATTCGACACTGTAGAGTTTTCTTACTTATTTTCAATTCTAGAAAGGATGGGTTTTAGACAGAGATTTATACCTGCCGTTAAGACTCTGTATGCTTCTCCTATAACTAAAATTAAAATTAATGGCTCTCCTACTAAACCCATATCACTACTTCGGGGCACTCGCCAAGGTTGCTCTTTATCCCCTCTTTTGTTCGCATTGGCAGTAGAACCACTTGCCAATGCCATTAGAGCCCATCCAGACATTTTGCTTGGAGAAGCAAAAAATTGTCTCGCATTATGGACGTTGCCACCAAACAAGGTATTTGAAGTAAGAGTGAGCTGTGTGATTCTGGATGCTGCACATTTGATGGACCAGTGTTCTGATCCAGCAGGGCTCTTCTGACAGGGTTGTCATCTGCCTGGCGGGGCCAGGGGATCCCCTGATTTCGGGGCCCCCAATCTGTTGCAGCTCAGCTGGCCAGCGGGGGAAGCCGCACCCCTGAGAAGCCCCCTCTTGGTGCCACCAGTGTGATGATGTCACCCAGGAGTGACGTCATCATGTTTCCAACGTCGAGGGTGATGCTTTAGGTTTAGGGCAAAACTCTATGGTTTTGAGGCCAAAAAACCCATAGAGTTTTGCCCAAAACCTAGAGTGTCGCCCCCAATCTTGGAAACGTGATGATGTCACTTCTGGTGATATCAGTGCGTGCGCCAGAAGATCTTCAAGGAGGAACTGGGAGGCCCCCTGCCAGCAGCCAGGTAGGACCTGGAAACCCTGTCTTCTCATGTTCTTCTCAAGACAGTTCAGAGCATTTTGGAGATAATTTGGTACCATTTTGGAGGTACCTTGAAAAACTGATGCATTTTTTTGTCCTTTCTGTTTTACTTAGTATTTTTTGTAGAGATAAGAATAAAATTTGTTAAAGAAATACAACACGTAACACTTTACAGCTGGATTAAGTCTGTGTTAAAGGGGTAGGACATTTTTTCCAGGCCTGCTGTCCTGGATTTAGGAGCAGATTCATAAGTGGTTCAGAAACGTTCAGGCTTGATCATGGTTCATGGGCCTGAAACATTTGGAATATGATAATTAAAAGGTCTTCTAATAAAAACCACCACCAAATAATGCTGTTCTTCCTATAGAAGAGGGATTGCAAGGAATCCAGCCATTCTGCTAAGAAACTGATTTGGAAAGGAAGTTGATCAGGATTCTGATGACCATATTAGCTTCAAAGGGTTCGAATCAGCAGTGAACTGTGGGCAAGATAATTTGTTGGTATTTCAATTTACCTGAAGTGCATTTTCTGAGGAAAACAGCGCAATAAAACAACCACACCTAAGATATTCTAACATCCTCAGAGCCCAAAGGCTTTTTAATTCATCTGCGAAGCTGTTGAAAAGCTATCTTTTGAAACTTTCCTGTTGTGATATTCCATAAAATTTCTGTTTCCTATGCATTCAAATCAACCTAGTTTGTAGACCTGAATATGTATGTTTCTGTTTCCCCAATAAATTAGTTTAGTGGGGGGGGGGGGAATACTCTACAGCTGGACGTAAGCAAGTCTGGCCCTGTAACCTGCCTTTGGTGTTCAAAGGGCTTCATACACATCTTCTAACAGTTGCAGTGTTCCTGTGAGATAGGACAGTCTTGTTGCCCCAGTGTTGTAGATGGAGGGGGCAGCAAGGGTGAGAGAGAGAGGAGTTTGTGGTAAAAGCTAGATAGCAGCCTGGGGCATGTGTATGTGGGGGCTTATCAGATCACAGCTCATTCTCTTAGTGGCCCCTTTCAGACAGTCTATGCAATCCATTTTGGTAGCCAAGTTGCTAACGGATTTTTTTTTTTGGTATCATTTCAGACACAACCCTTTTAGCAACCAGATTTTACTGAGCTTTTCATATAAAATGGTGTCTGGTTAGCAAGGTGTGGTTGAGCCGTTCTTGAGGGTAAACAGCTTTCTTCCATCTCCACCTCTTCTTTGCGCTTTTGAATCGCTGTAGTGTGCTGCTTAAAATGTCTGCAGCACTTCCAGTAACTCTGTGCTCCCCCTGCCCTTTTTCGCTGTGTGATCTTCCTTGAACTTTTTTTGGGGAACATTCTAAATTGAACACTATCGCACT